TTTTCATCTCCAGCTCCATCCTTTAATTTGAACAACTCTTCGCTTAACTGGGACCGTATCAGATAAGGAATTCAGTAATTTTTTATTTTTCAAAAATATGCCAACAATATGCACGTTAATATTTGGCAACACTAGCTTGATGCAAATCAATTATCTATCGCCCTGCATCAGCGATATTCATGTATGGTGTATATTTTAATATTGAAAACATTTCAATATTTGCCAAGAAATTATTTTACACTTTCGAGTAAAATTGCTTTTCGTGATAAACCCAAAAGTCAAAGAAGTATTAGATTAATGGTCGTCTATAATTAGTCAGCGAGGCCTGAATATCATGGCTGAGTGTTGAAAGTCATCTCTAAAAATCTCGGGAAACAACGATTTATGATTGGTTGTCTCGACGGAAGGCATGACAGAATATCAAATTTAAAAACAGTGCATGACTGAAAAGGCAGTGCGAATATAAGCATGAACAGAGGCAAAAAAATTAAAATTCCAATTTTTTTTAGACAAAGATTTAAAAAAAATTTCTTTTTGAATTTTTTTTTTTTTTTTTTTTTTTTTCAGTTCAGATGATATTTACAATATTGGTGAAATCGGCTTGTATTAAAGTGCTACGCCCGACTGCTCCTTGCGTTATAAACACATTGGTCAGGTTATAAAATGGCAATGGATCTCATTACTGTGTTATGCTATGCAAATATGTCAAATACGGACAAATGAAACCAAAGTCATGAGACTTTTTCCAAAGTTAAATGACTAAAGTCATGAGAAAAAAGTCTAAGCTGCGATGCTTTCAGCGGTTAGGAATATAGAATTTATCAGTAGAGTATTAAACCAATAGTAATGCATTGATCATTTGAAATTTTTCGGGATTGGCTTACTAGTTGCTATATAGAATTATACAGCATAATCAACGGAAAATTTTGTTCCTTCTTAATGATTGTGCAGCATTCCCTCATTTAGTTAATTTTAAAATATCAGGTTGGGATTTCTTCCTCTTAAATCAACTAATGGAATGCGAGTAGTAAAAAATTTAAAGACGCTGTATACAGAAAAATTGTTTAACACATATTGAAATTCATTGACGAAATTCAATATTCATAAACAGCCTGAGAGACATCGGTGGAAAAATTTCCATTATGAAAGCAATACAGTTTGCCGTTGACAGTTAGTGAGCTATTATAAATAACGCATTACAAACTTATTCTGCTATTTGCAGCTTAAACCTTTGGAAATTCCAGAAATTTTGAGTAGTGAGGAAAATGAAGCCATACTGCAAGTTCCTATCATCTCGGGAATATTGAACTTATTGAAATGACTATAATGAAGAATTTTCAATAGAAGATAAAAATTTACCATACTATGACGCAAATTTTGAGGTTATTAAATCCAAGTGTAAAACAATAGACGACTAAAACGATGTTGAAGATGATGCCTGTGCTTCTGATAAAACTTGACGGAAAAAATATAGCTTTATTTTTTTTTTATTCAGGAAGATAATGAAAGTAAGCTTACATCTGCACTCAGTACATGTGCTGATTTGGAAGAACAGCAAAATTTTAGAAGCTGCACTTCATGCATTTCTTCAGAATTAAAATTTAGAGAAATTGTAAAATTTATCATACAAGTATAATTTTTTCTGCACATTTAGATCAAATATTTTCTTTATTCCGGTTTAATAAAGATTAAATTTGGTATCGAATTATTACTTTTTACCTATTAATTTATTTATCTACGTATTGCACATTTTATTTCAAAATTTAGTCTTAGTTCGCTGAGATGGGATAGCTGCTTTATTGGGCCAAAAGAGATTAATTTCAATGTTTCTCCCTCTGAGTGGCCCAGGGTTTTGGATCTGTAATGAAGACCTATATCTAAACATCCTTTATTAGCTAAATTTGCACATTTGTATTTTAGTCTCTAATTTCATAAACTTATATTCATTAAGATGACATCTATATTGTTAATGAAAGTAAGAAAGCAAAATATCTTAAATTATAAGCTAGTATATACCAAGTAACAAAAAACTCATGACCAAATAAAGCTGACCATGGCGTTCAGAGGGTTAAGTGAAATCGACTGCGATATATTTCTTGCTTAAAATGATGCTAAAATTTCACAATGTGAAAGCAAAGAAGAAGAGAAAGGTAAGAGTAGAAGTTACCTATTTATACAAGTATGTTTCGTATAGTTTATTAAAGAAACGTCTTTTAATAAAGTACCAATTCTCAAAAACTACGACATAAAGTCAGTAAATATGTTAGGAACTGCTGCAAGGTTAAACTGAGTCACAGTGTGTTGTTCCATCATGACAATCTCAGGTCTCAGCTGCACGACCAACACAGCGATGTCTTACCGCATTCAGATGGCAACTTTTCAACTGTCTCCATACAACCTACCTAGACTTAGCCCCAAGAAATTTTCACTTGTCTAAGCTCTCTCTGGTAGTACAGGTTTCGTAGACAATGTAGAAACTGAAAAAGTCCATACCTAGCTGCGGCAATAACCCAAAAAATTTAAGTGCAGCAGGATTCAGACGTTCATACATTGAGGAAATAGTAGTAAATGGCGAGTATATACTGATGCATCATTAGATTTTTATCCACGTTCATTTCCGTAGCACTTTGTAGCCTTCTTTCACACTAACCTCATGTTCAATTCGAAATCGAAATCTTTTCGGTTATTTCTATTGTTTGCGGATGAAATATACGTAACTTTAACTTCATTTATTGGCTATCTCTTCCTTTCGTTATATATTTTCACTATATGTATTGTTTAAAAAACTTTAATTTCGTCTTGACGTTATTACGCACGAAACTATTATAAATTTGAATAAAAATTGAAATTTCCATAAGATTGGCCTTTCAGATCATTCAAATATGCAGTAAATTAACCGTAAATTAACAAAAAATTTTCTGTAAATTAACAAAAAGTTCACTTTCTTTTGATATTGAGAAACCATACCATTGCTATGATAAATAATTTGTAAACATTAAATGACAAGCGGGACAAGCATTTGTTATTCTTGTTTTTATGACACTGAAGTTACCGTGTTTAGTAATATGCTAAATTCTACATTCAAAATATATCCTCTTCGATATTATTATACATCGACTTTGATATTAATATCAAGAACAAAACTTATTTGCTAACTTTGTGGAAGGGTCAATAAATTTTCTTTCTCTTTCTTTCTTTCTTCTCAAGATCTTACTTTTCAGTTTACTTTAATGATTTTTTTAGAACACCATACAAACATATTTCTAGAACAAATACTCTGAAGAATTGATTTTATTCATTTTTTTTCCATAAACTACGGAATATTCAACCCGAACTACGTATTTATTTTTAGGATATTTCTAATGTTAATTTTATATATTGACCGTTTTTTGCTTTCGAAACTATTTTTAATTTAGATGACTTAGCATCAGAGCATTTACTTCTAAATAATCTAAACTCCAAAATAGATCAGTATACATAGAAATACTGGAAAATATGCTTAAAATCTATTTCGATTTAGTACTGCATAATGCGATCATGGCAGTGTGAGCCCAAAGCTTTTTTCATTTACACGGAACTTATGAAAATGTGTGTGCCCAAAGCTTTTTTCCAAGCTTTGGGCAGTATGTGTCCAAAGCTTTTTTCATTTACACGAACTTATGGAACTATAATCAAATATCATTCCCATCTAATCTATAATAAAAAAACTTAATTTCCCATTAGTTTGATTGAATTCAAATTTAAAGTACCGTTAAATGAATCGCAGTTTTACTGCAGTAAACTTCTTTTAAACGCATTTATTAAAAATCTCAATTATAATTTGGCAGAGTAATCATGGAAAACATTGCTTATAAGGTTGATATTTATTGAAATGACTATAATGACAGTTATGTGCAGTAGAAATGGCAGATCTCAAATCGATTAATATAAATCGATTAAAATGGTATTTAATATTTAAAGGCTACAAAAATCGATATGGAAGGAATATCATGTCAAGAGAAATTCAGTCCTGAAGGGGAAAGCTGCATTAAAAAATAATAGAGTAGAATGGTGATTATTAGGGTTACACACAGTCAATATTCGGTAAACTGCCATATAGCAAAAGAATACTCAAATGGACTACAAGAGCTTTGAAAGAAAATAAATAGTTGGTCTTTTTTCTTCACTGTTGAAGAGACAGCTGGATTATCTGTTGACAAACCTTTATAAAAAGGCTACAAATTTAAATGCATTACTTGAACAACTTGAAAAATATCAATTTCTGAATATCCTGGAATATACTAGTTATAAAAAAACACAAAAGGTTTTGCAGAATTGTAAAGAATTAAACAGTGTTTCGAAAACTTAGGATGATTTGGTAGAATCATATTAATTACAAAAGATCTTCCTCAGCGTTTAATAGTACATAATCGATAGAAAATTTCTAACATATGTAATTTTATTAAGAGGCATTGGCCATAAGTCATAGTTAAACTTAGCAAGCAAGTTGAATTACAACAAATATAGCCAAGGCAGTCACTTCATTTGGAAATATGCACAAAAGGAACGAGCAAGCAGTTATACGAATTCTCCATAGTGAAATTGAGCAAACATACGCCGGTGAGTGATGAGGCAATTACTGTAGAAGCTTGCGTATGGGTTTAGTGTGTTTCATGAGTTGACCTCTTAGAAAGGCATAAGAAACTCATTGCCCAGTTAGTCAAAAGAGATTGTTTCTTCAAGAAACCAGATATTTTGAAAACATTTAATTGCGATGAGGTTTATGGTAATAATGATTCTTTTTAAATTTTTTGGGAGCATATACTGTTAGCAAAAAATATTGTGATTGATTTTTGATTCTTCTACGTATAATATGAATTGTACAAACAAAAACAATGGAAATAAAATAAATAATTTATTTCAGATGGAAAAAAAAAAAAAAAAAAAAAAAAAAAAACCCACTTTTCGGTACAAGGCCACATTGATCATCAAATAGAACTACACAAATTATGCAAACACTATTAAGTAGACCAAAAATTTAATATTTTATTTTACCCTTTTTTAATTAAACTATTTTAATAGCAGTGATGCTATACAAATCAAGTATTACAACATAATTTATTCCGATTAAAAACTAAATTATCAAATCAAAGAATGCCAACAACAATATGCAAAAAGTGTTAAAAATAACAAATTCTTTACCAAGTTCTTCTCGGAAAGGATTTAGTAACATTTACTTAATGAAATAGAAAATACTATTTAGAAAAATATATATTTCTTCTATGACAGATATTCGTATTGTAATACTTTTTTTTGAAGGAGAAAGGAAAAAAACAAAATATTTTTCTGTTTAAAAAAAAAAACATTTTTCTGTTAACAAAACATTTTTTCCTTTAAAAACGTGATAAATATAAAAAATAACACTGAATGGCATAAATAATTACAGTTAAGTATAATTAAGGCCATTATTTTACCAATGGCTAAGAAAGAAGCTCTTGACTAATACTGAGAAGTACGTGAAGACAGGCTAATACTGAGAAGTATATAAAGACAGGAATGTTTAAGAATAAAGCATTAAAATGCGAAGCTTAAGCGTAAACTACATTATGCAGAATTTTAACAAGCTCCAGATAACAGATTGATGTTAATGTTTCTGGACAGCAATTGCAGATTTAACCTTTTCCAGATGCTCAGCTTAACGAAAACATGGATTATACACACGAAAATCCATAATCTCATTTTTCAGCTTAGAGATAAAAAATAATTTATACTAATTCAACTAATTTGTAATTAATACATAATATACGACAAAAATGAACATTATTTTCAAATAGAAGTTCTACACAAAGAGCTTTCTGACGTAAATGACACAAACAGGAACTTAGAGTTGCCACGCCTTTTCCATCATGGTGACAAAGTATTCGTCCAAGTCAATAGATGCGCTGACACCCGCATAATAATCAATAAACTCTTGCTTAGAGACCTAGAAAGAAAATGAGAAATTCTCTTATTAATGACGATGAACCCGCATAAATTTGTTTTTCCTCAGTTAAGCTCGTCTGAACGGTTTTATTCAACAGAAGAATTAGTTTCAGAACTTTGAGCACTAAAGGTATTAGAAGCAAAGACAACGTGATATGAATGGAAGTTCATTCATTATAGTTATACCCATATGAAAATAAAAATGAAATTTTAACTAAGAAATGTACAGTCTACTTAACATACTCAGGAGCAAAAACGATCTTATTCCTCCTTTTTTTCTCTATATATTCTCATTAACGCTTAACGCACAGCCTGAAGTTTTTCACAAAGGCATAGCAGCAGCAATTCATCCAATTACTGATATTACTACTGTGTGATTTGTGGTTTTATTAGATTTCATTGCCCATTTAACTGAAAGTCGGCTGAAGAAATATTCGGTAACCGTGCATAACAAAACACCTCGAACTGGAATTCAAAGGAAGAAGAAATAACATGTCAAAGAGAAATGATAGCACTGTTTCAAATCACGATTTAAGATTGAAAAGAATTGTTGGAATAGGGATATTCTAACATCAGTCTTTCAGTACATTTTTACTAATGATTTAAAGACAAGTAAAATTCTTGGAAAGCGAGCACTTCATGATTTGATAACCGATTAATGCCAAAATCGAGTGAATGTATGTTAAATATATTCAAATGAGGATTCTAAATATTCATATTTTATTTACGAAGACTTTTCATTTAATTCAACATTGATGAGATCATACATGCAGTCAAGTAAGAATCAGTTAAAGTTTTGCTTCCACTCAAATGAGCGGCTATCAAGCGTTGTAACTCAGAATATTTATGCACTTTAAAGTGCTGATTATGGCTTTTGATTATGATGGGATCGCAGTGGCTTAGTCAAAGCTCTTGACGCTCCTCTCAATGGACGTCTAAGATCTTAGTGACATATATTGAATGAAATAAAAGCTTTGTTTATTTTTGAAATAAAACTTTTCCAACATTCTAAAACGCTATTTTGCATTTTTTTCTCCCGAAAGTATAATTGTCGATGGCAGAATAGAGCTTTGTTTCATTACTCCAACTGCTTTCCTGTAGAAGTAAAATCAGATTTATAAACTGAAACATACTTATTTTTAGATCCTTGTTGTTTCCTAATCGATATGTATCCAGAAAAATTAATCTGACAAAAAGTAAAACTTATAGCAACTGAAAGGAAAATTCACTGAAGTATTCCAATACTTGTAAGTCACTGAAGTATCCCAATACTTGTAAAATTTGAAGCGACCAGCTATCAATATTTTTGATTCGTCTTTCGATGCTGTAACAGAAATACTCTAAAGCAGCGGTTCTCAACCGGTGCTACGCGTACCACTGGTGGTACGCAAGAGAAAAATAGGTGGTATGCAAAGAAACAAATTTAAAATTCAAAACTCTCGTGAAGGAAAAAAAACAGTTGATAGAAATTTCCTGTGATCGAACTCTAACTTTGTGTGCGATTTCAAAAATAACACACCGGTTAACTTTTGACTGAAACGGGGGAAAAAAAATTAAGGCCGTCTCAAATAAAGCTATTAAATATTTATTGCCCTTTTGCACAACCTATTTGTGCGAACAAGGATTTTCTTCCATGTTATGTTTGAAAAATAAATAAGGAACAAAAATTAAAGTGTATCCTAATTTACGTTTAAAGTCAAGTCAAATAAGGCCAGACAAAAAGAAATTGCCCCCTCTTATAAAGACCCAAATTTCATACTAAATTTAGAATTTAAGTATTGTAACTTAAATTTTGATACTTAAAATGGTAACCAATTTTAATCTAACATTTTTATGTGTGCAGATTTAATACAAATAGCCAATAAATTGTGCAAATGGGAAAATGGGAAATATTTCTAGTGAGAATTTGAAAAATAATCATTTTAAAATGTAGTTATGGTACTAAAGTTTTTAAATTTTTGTTTAGATGTTAGGCGTTAGTCAAAAGGTTGAGAACCGCTGCTATAAAGTATTTCTTTCTCAGTGAAGATTCTTTCTTTCTCAGTTTCTTTCTCAGAAGAAGAACTGTTTCCCATTCATGCCAATGTAATCGTTATTTAATTGATATTCGTATTTTTTATTCAAAAGTTTCTGTGGAGTATGAAAAGCAAAATAAGAAGGATATAAATTGTTGAAATCTCCATGAAGTTTCTGTCCAGTGAGGGGGGAAAAATTCTTCAATTTATATTTGCATGTCAGTTCAGCATCTTGTGATGCTTCACATCACAGGTGACTAGCTGGTTAAGATGGCTGAATACTAGTACTTCGACCTAGGGTCAAATCCCAAAGAATGGGCTGAATGCATAAGTATTTTTATGGTTTAACCTATGTATAATGCAGGATATATAATGTTTTTAGCATTCATGATGTGAATACAAGACAGTAGAACTTCCATGCGTGAATATGAACCAGTAATTTTCAAACTTTAACGAACTTTAGTCTTCCAAAAAGACATCCTTCTCTTTAGATAGATAATCGCATTGAGTTTTGTTTAATTCAATAAATCAAATATTGTTTTATAATAATGCATGGCCCCTTCTTCTCGAAATCGCAAGATTTGCACCAGAAAATCAAAGAACTTGGCTGGGTAATTTTACCTTAACGCATCTTATAATTCAGGCAAAAATCTAACGACTTTTCATTTGTTTCGACCAAACGCAACATTTTTTAACATTTAATGAGATCAGAACATTTAATATATTTCAGAACATTTAATGAGATCGACCAGTATTTGGAACTGATTTAAGAAACTCCAGTTTTACAACAATAGTATCAACAACTTTATTTTAAATGAGTAAATATTGTGATCGCATTTAGTGATTAACTTTCAATATTATGCTTCTGATGCTATTTCAAAATTCATTAACAAAAGTAAAAAAGCTTTTAGCAGGAGACCTGTTAAGGATTAAAATCGTACAGTGACCTGGCGATGCATACTGTTTTAATTCCGCAGTAAAAAAAAAAAAAAAAAAAAAAAAAAAAAAAAAAAAAAAAAGACGTGCTTCTTTCAATAAATGGTAAGCTAATCAACAAGTAAAATGTTTTACAAACTTTATTAGTAGTATAAATGGCAGAACGCTCTCACAAGCAGAAAGGAAAGATGTTTGAAGACTTTACTGCAGCGCAAAAACTTTTAATGACAACCCTAAGAAAGTCAAAATGTTTTCACTCACAGTGGAAATAAGATCTTAATGAGATTTAAATATAACATAACATAACGTTAATAGTTATATTATTAAGACATTTTGGACGATTTACAAACAAACAAACTAATATAATCATGAATTTTTGACATAAACATCCAGTAAATAGGGATATAAGATATTTCTTATTTGTATAGGTTACAGCAACCTGTTTCAATGAACAGTTGCTTTATTAACACAGAAAATTGATTTATCAATACATTTTAGCTAGTTGCACATTTTTAAGCTTCATAATTAGACACAAAATTACGGTTGCCCTATAAGTATAACATTACACTGAACATAGTAAATCTGTTCAAAACAACAACCTTTATCAAACATGGAGATATTCTACAACAGTAAAGATAAGATTAGTCAGGTGAAGGACCTAAAAACCTGGTGTTCTGTCACGTGTTGAAGACAATCTTCTTAGCGTAAATCATTGCAGCCACAGGACGCACTGGCTAAAGTGAAACAGTGTCAGGTCTAGAATATCGCAAAATTCGAGATAATAATAACATTTATCGCTGCCTATTCATATCAGCTATTCAATTTATAACAATTCATGATCTTGTTGAATACACGTAATATAATGAATCACAATTCATCATTACAGCCGCTTAAAAAATATAAGGTGACTATATTGCATACAACAAAACAAACATTTAAAAATCTGTTTGGGCGACTTTTCAATCATACTTGTATTTCCGAAAGAAGGAACTAGTATTAGTATTGGGACTTCATTTAAGTACACAACATCTATATTCTTAGGCAAGCGAAAAATTTAATAAATTCTGCATATTGTTTTTGAATGCTTACTATTTCATATTTCCATCTGTGGGCCGATTTCAAGCATACTCTGTCGCGAAGTTCTTTCATGATGCAGGAGTGTGCTACCGTCCTGCGGACCATGCATATTAGTTCGTTTCTCTAGGGCCTCCTCGTCTTCTTAAAGCTAGGTTGGCAATCGAAAACTCCCTCAGAACGTCTGCGAGTAGCTCGGCCTCCATATCGTTGCTGCGCTCTACAGAGACGTAATAAAAAAATGAAAAATTGTTTTTTTACATCTATGTTCCATGCAGCAAAGCCTCTCGATGCCCATAAAGGCTCATCTCTCGGCGCTGATGCCGTGGAAGACTTAGTTTTGAACTGCTACTGAAAGCACGAGATAAGATTCCGTGCGCGTGAAATAAAAGAGGGAGCTGTTGTCGGTTGGACAGCGACTCCCATCGCATTTCCAAGGTGTGCTCTACCACTAGCAGATTCGACTTTGAGTGCAGCTCGAACGTTCTATAAACGTACAAAAGCCACCTGGCTGATCTTGCCGTAGTCATATGCTTGTTTCAAAGATTAAGCCATGCATTTCTAAGTCCTTTTTGTCTCTCTGAACTCATGAAAATGTTTCACTTGGTACAATTATCCAATCATCTTACAAAGAATTAGAATGGTTATAGTAGTTACCGTACATTTCTGGACTGAATGCATCAAAACTTTAAATGATTTATTCTTTTGCTAAGGATATGGAATCCTTGAGGCGTAAGACAACAATGACACTACCCACCTCACAGTAAAAAAAAAAAAAAAAAAAAAAAAAAAAAAAAAATTCGAATACCTTTTACTCTGGAATATTCAAGCAATGTAACATAAGCTACAAGCTAGGCAATATACATACGAGTACATTACATCCGGTTATTACATACACAGCTCCCAAGTCAAGGGCGGGCTGTTGTGAATCGGAAGAATAAATAATGGTCGACTTCCCGCCATTTACAACAGCAAATGTTTTCTTACCGTTCCGTCTCCCTTGTTGGGCGTGTCAAAACTTTGAAGGAATTCCAGTAGTACTTCGTCTTCGCTCTTTTTGCCCGCGGCAACATCTGGATGTTCTTTGGCATTGTATACGCCTTTTAAGTCTTCAAGAGTCACACTTCCGTCTCCTGTCTTGTCCATCTTTGCGAAGGCTTTTTCTATGACATCTAATCTCTCTTGGGAAAGAGGAGGCTGAAGAGCCATAAAATTTAGAATGAATGTTATTTAATTATTACTAAAATATGCACATATATTTACAACATCAAGAAATAAAAAGTTCATATTGCAATTCAAAATAGCTTAAAAAACTAAAAAAATCAAAATAAATAAATAAAAACTCCAATTTGCTGAGACCTTCAGGTCAATATATTACCTCAAAGAAAAAAAATTACTATTAAAAAATAATACAGCAAACCCTTGTCGAAAGCGGGGTTACGTCATTAACGCAATGCGCGAACGAAAAAATCGCATTCCGCAAAGTAAATTTACTTTGAAATCAACAAGTTAGGTATAGAAACAGATTAGATTAAGAGAAAGTATGTATAATTTATACAAAGCTAATTATCGTAATTAAAAGGCGAAAATAAACAAATGTTAATTGAAAGGATTTCTGTTACTGTTTAATAAGTAGGTACATGATGTATTTTAAGTAGCTGGTAATTTCTGCTTGAGACAATATCTGACGCAATTAATTCTTCGCGGTAAGAAGTGCAAAAAAATTCAGTACATTTCATAAAATACCCTCCTCTTCTCTCATTTGTGTCAATCTTCATTGCAAACTAAGACAGTCCTTGTGCCTTTTATCAACAATTCGTTTAATTTTTTTGTAAGTTAAAGGCGCTTTATCTTCTTCACTTTCGATGCTTTCATCGTCTGCTAAATCATCCAATTCTTCATTTGTCATTTCACGAATGTCATCCTCGACTAATTCTTTGATTTCGCCTTCTTCCGTATATTAAAATCTCTCGCCTCTTACTGCTTCTGCACTTTGTACGATTGCCTTGGCTTCATTTTCAATCGACAGAAATCCCTTTTTCAATTGATCAAATTAAAATTCTTGACAACTGATGCCACAACAGACGCCAGACAGCATTAATTGTTAACGAATTCAGATCACAACTGATGTTAGAGAGCATTAATTGTTAACGAATTCATTTGTTCATCAATAATTAATACTTACAATTAATGTATCAACAATTAATGCTTGTTGCGAGTTTAATCATTTCTATGCAGCGTCTTATGTCGAATAGCTTCCAGTAAGTAAACACGCCTGACATAGTAGACTTTGAATATTTTTATGAGTCCTCCATGATTCCAATGGGTTAAAGAAATAGTTATTTGGTTTAAGGAATAAAACCTCTACATTTGGCTGCATTGTTATGAGGGCTTCAGCACTCGGTCCTGGAACATTTTCGAATACTAAAAGAATTTTAATGCTCAGTTTTTGGCTATTCTAAGCAATGTTTGATTTCTTTAATGAATTAATTTTCAAGCCAGTAATTAAAAAGGACTGTCATAACGCGGCAGTGTATTCTGCTTATAGTTGAAATTTCCGCATTGAACAAATTAAATAGAACAATTAAGATAACGCGTATACGCAAAACTGTGTTCCGCAAGTCAAGGTTTGGCAAAAGTTTACTGAATTTCCGTTTGTAGCTTCGAAACTTGTTTTGCATTTCTTTCTTGAGTATAAAAAGGTGTCACAAGAAAAATATCAAAATGCTGATCCCCTGTATTGATAATGAAGCATGATAAAAGTATATTATTACTGATGCAACCAGATCATAAAAATCAACTGATTAATGAAATAAAAGACTTGTTGAAAAAAGCTGAATGAAAACATATTTTTAAATTACAATACAGTGGAACTGCCGGCGAATGGCGGACTCACTTACTAAATGGCGGCACTTGGGGATGGGACCGATAATTTTGATATCCAAGATTCAAGAAAAAAGACCATTGCTGAAATGGAAAACTGGATTTTTACAGAATGGAATATTTGCTGGGAGTCTCTAATAAGATAAAAAGAGTTAATGAAAATAAAAAGTTAAACAAGAGGATGGATATTATAAATAATGTTGATATAAATCAGATACTGATTAATCTTGGGCGTTTCCAGGCTTACTTTAATCGGTTTCATCTACAGAATAATGATAAATGCTTAATATGTGATAAGTTTGGGGACACCAGGCACTTCGTCGTTGAATGTACGCTTACCCGGAGTGCAAGAGAGAAATATAAAAAGAATTTTAAGGACGATTTTAAAAGGAACTCTTCAAATTTGAAAGATTTTGCAGAGACAATAATGAAGATTTTAAATACGAACAAAGATAGAATTGGAATTCGGCACTGAGACTTAGATTTCGGACTTTATATGTTTTTTCTTATGCTTGTTTTTTCGGGCCAGTCCCACTTTTTGATCATACGGTCTGCTTGTGCCGGCTAGGAAGATCGGAACTGTGCCCTTATAATGCTGATGATTATTACTTTAGAGGAAGGCTTTAAAAGAGGTTGTAAGAATTATCGCATCCATCTGGGTCGTATTAAGTGGTTAGCACGCCCAGCAAGCAAAAGGAAACTCGGTTCGAATCCCGGCGAGGGTACGGTTGATTATTTATGTTTTTTACTTGGAAAATTATGACAATATAGATAGTGGTGTCTGAACTAAAATGAGGTAGACGATAGTTCGTCATTAACTGGATTTGGTGTACTAAAATTTTACGTTTGTAGTAACCTTTTAAGCGGGAACGAATATACAGAATGTTCGTATATCCTTCTGCATACCTTAAAACGTTTAGCAAGTCCAGCTAGTGAAAGAGCAATGGCTCGAATCCCAGCTGTTGAGTTTTGCTTTTCTTAACTCCCGAATTTCTAAGCTTCACATTTTGCCACACAACTAAAATAAGTTGGATTCGTTAACACTTATACTTTTTCGAGCTGGCTCTCCCCAGTAGCTCTATGAGCGGAGGAGAATATACTGCTTTGAAGAATTATTATCTTTCCACTTGTGCTAGTGGTGTTAGTGGATAGCACCAGCTAACTCGCAAGTGGAAGAACCGTTGCATAATCTGTAGAGTGGCAATCGAAATAAAAATGGGCGAATTATAAGCACATCATCGGGGTTCAAATTCCAGTGATGGCACAATTCATTTTTCACGTTTCGAGCATCAGGAAAGGCTAATAATCTCTAAAAAGTGACTTTCAGATTTTTTCATCTACTCTATCTTCGCTTTTGGAATCGGATGATTCTCCGTTTCCTTTGTGTTCATCATACACTTTTTAAATTTTACACATGAATTCTAACTTATGACCGCTGATTTGTACATAAATCTCGTTGGAGGGAAGGTCGAAAGCAGCGAAGTTTAAGAAAATTATCAAATATATTGTTACTTATTTTTCTTCAAGTACCTTACGATACGGGTTCGTGGATTTGGAGTGAATAACGACAAAAGCACTTGATGAAGTATCAAAACACTTATTCAAAACAGCTCCAATAACACGTTTACAGTCGTCGAAGAACTACTATAAACATGCTGAAATGATCAGCGACACAGCCTTCAGACTATCAGGCTATAATGGTGGAGATAGCTTCACTGCAAAGCACCAGAGTACAGCTCCCGATTCTGTTCAGTCGTTCTCGGAACTCCACATACTCTCGAGGCTCTTCACGCTAAAACTCGCGATGCACTCGACCATACACTAGAGTACAGCTCCCGACTCTTTGCTTTAATCGTCCCTGGAGCTTAACACACTCTAAAATGAAACTCGACGATGCACTAACTCGCGATACACTAAGAGACTCTTTCGGTGCATTGGATGACCAACTCGGCACTCACTGACTATCAACTCGATGGACTCTTAACTAACTCTGTACGTACCAGTAGGGTTTATAACTTTTGGCTTGTGTTCGAGAACATTCTGGTCCAAACCAGTAAGAATTCGTTTCTGAAGGTTCTCCATCCTGCTATGGTATATTGCCAATTTTGTCGCCAAATAGTCGATTTCTCACCAAATATGAAAACCCTGCCTTCCCTTGCTATTTCCTGGCAACCTTAAACCTGCTTTACGGGGAAGCTATCTTACCGCGGCTGCACATTTCATAACAATATTATTATGAATTTTAAGCTACAAATGGCTTGAAAAGTTGCTAATCTTTATATTACATTATCCACTGAATCACAGAGTGTCAAACTATAGGAATATATCTAAATCGAAGATAATTTGACATTGATTTTAAATGTTTCGATCCGGACTTATGGCAACAAGCTTTAAAACAAGAATTATTAAAGAAATAAGAATAAAAAGTAAACTTTCTAATACTAATAGTCTTAAAAGTGGATTACAGTTTAAAGAGCGAGGTTTTTATTTGCCCTCTCTCCGGTGTTTAGAAATCAAAGTAGACATCAAAAAAAAAAAAAAAAAAAAAAAAAAAAAAAAAAAACCGTTTCATTTTTTTGTTTTCTTATGTAGTGTTCGCATAGAAATATATCTCATATTTTTAAATGGTAAAAAAAGATTTGAATAACTATTCGACATTTCATCTCATTTTAATTGGCCTCCCTAAATAATATAATCAATTACTCATTTGACAGGTAATATCAGATTTACTTTCGACTTATGACAAGTGTGTAAAGAATGTAAATCTGTAGAGAATTAATGTACTGTTTATTTATAAAACCAATTAGAATAAAAACTAATCAACTTAAGTTGTTAAAATCTGCAATAAACTGTCTATTGTTACTGATGCAATGAGCATTTTCTAGATAGCAACGCAAGAGCATTGAATAAATCACAATATTGTCCGCTTTCTTATTAATAGGTATTTCTTTAGGGATAATTTGGGGAATTTTTCCCCCTATATCGATCCACGTGTTTACTGTAACTGTACACCAGTTAGAAAGTGCCTCAACGCAATTTTTGCTATTTTTACATTTATAATGATTAATGCCGAGAAAGCAATTTCAGGTGTTACTATTTTCGCTTTCCAAAAAGGAAACTTCTTCCGGCAAAACAAGAAGTTGTTACTAATCTAGAACCCCTCACTTAACTTATACATTACAAAATTACATTGCTTATAAGTGTGGGGAAATGAACAATTTAGAAATAAAAATAACCTATATCTTAAAAAATATTTTGTAATTTGTTTAAGGTTTTTTATCACTAGTATATAAAAGATGCGTGCATATAACACATGGTTTCCTAACGCTATAGCGTGTACATATACGTTATACCACGAGTCAGAAATAAAGCCTAAATTTGTAACAAAATTATGTTGCAAGATGTGAATTGCAACTTCAGTAAAGTGCATTGCGAGTTTTACTAACATTATGGCAAGTTTGTTAATTTTTCTTCTTTTTCGTAATCAACATGTTAATTTGCAAAAAAATGTTTCATAATGCGCCTTTAGGCGTAAAAGGTTATTTTTTAACATGTATCCGAAAATCTCATTTCTAAATTGTAGCTAATAAAATAACCCTTATTAAGCAAGTTACGAAACTTTTAACACTAGAATACTAGAAAAGAAAGACTTCAAGACTAGAAACAAGAGAAGTTAAGATTTTATTATTTCTTTAATATGTTCTCCTACTGTTCTTTGTTCTTGTTCTTTTCATCAGCTCTTCTACTTGGCACCACGCCCAACTACAAAGCTGAAAGATCGCTTTACGAGAAAAATTGAATAATGACTCTAACCCAAAATTCTTCCCTCCTTTCATCTCAAACAACACACTATAATTAAACATATTTTCTCCTTATGTTCTGGTGATGTGATCATTCGGTAAGAATCTGGCAATTTGAAGAACCAAGGTCAATTTCTGATGAGGACACAGTGAATTTTTCAAGATTTCCGTTTCCTTTATTCTCAGTGTTTCTATACACAAGCTAAAAATTGAGGACGATATATTATCACTACCTCAAATTGATAATTTAGGATTACTTCTTCCCCCAGCCTTCATTTAGATGGGGCGAATGTGTGAAATTAAAGGTATTCTTCCCATGTGCTCAGTAGAGTATTGGTCAGCATATCAGTTGAGTAATATACAGATCCTATTTGGTTCCCGGCAAGGGCAGGATTAATATTTTAAGATACCGCATTTCGAAACTTGTAATGACTCTACAATGCATGTACCTCTACCTCTTTGCAGCAACGTGAAAATTTTCAAAATAACTGGGGAAGGAATATAAACCTGTGATTCTGCTATATTTCTAGCTTTCAAAACGTAAGTTGCATGATAATGAGGGTACGTAAATTTGGTTTTTTAGAAGTAATGAAGTAAAAGTTTTTCACTGAAAAGAGCTACTCTGAGCCTGCAAAAGGGCTGAAAAAAGCCTAAAAAAGGGCTACCCGCTAGGAGATAAGAAAAAGGAATAATATTAGTAGTTAAAAATCAGCCAAACTTTTAAAACCACTTATGATTTTTCTCAGATTATATTTTGAGTTTATCTGCATTTTTAAATGACTTAGATGAGCAGGACACATGGAACAGGCACCAGGGCATAATCCGATCCTGTGTTTAATACAGTGAAACAGTTGATAGTAATTACGTTGTTAGTTAGCATTTCGAAGATAGTAATTCAGAGTACTATGTTTTCATTCTTCATTGAGAAGAAAAATGTTGTAGGGTCTACTTGCTTGTCTTCTGAGTGATAATTGTACTTGTAGTAACTGTACAGGAGATGGGTTTAAAGTACCTTTTATTAAACTCTTTAAAATTTACAATGCGTCAACTCGACGCTAATACACTACGTTTGGGCGATAACTGAAATCACAGAACTAAACTAAAGATTCGAACATGTTTACAAGTAGTAGAAATTCTCTAAGGGGCTCAGATAACTCCTGGTGGTAGCAAAGGAAATGCTGTTATGCTACGTAAACCAACAATAACTCCGGGAGTATAAGCTCACGCAACAGATGCTACGGAAATAGCCTAACTCTCTCTAACTTTCCTTCGGGAACCCGGTATTTAAACTTTTTCTCTTCCAAGTAGAATTTGCATTAGTCCACGCGCGCTACCAAATTTAAATATTCTGCCATTGACAATTAGGGAAATGAAGGCTTATAGGAAAGTTTAAAATTAAACTTTATCCTGTTTGTTAAAATAAATATGAATCACTACAAAGTAAAACACGAGTTTTAATGAAATCTTTTTTCTATTCGTTATGAAACTTCCATTTATTTTAAAACTTCTCTCTCTCCCCGTTTAAAAAGAAAATGAAAGAAAAAAAAAAAAAAAAAAAAAAAACTCATTATCAAAACCAACAGCTTATTACTTCTAGTAAGCTTACTGCAGAGTGTTTTGAAGTGTGAGTAATTTTATAGCAACAGACTACTATGACAAACGGGATATGCATTTTTCTTATTCAATTTGCGGTTACTTACTCGTACGGCCTTCAAAAATTCTTCGAAGCTGACGGTTCCACTACCATCTTTATCCAATTCTTTGAAAAGCTCTGCAACTTCATCACCGTCCAAACTTGCTCCATATTCTTGCAATCCCAGTTTCATTTCGTCTAAATGCAGCTTCCTATCGCGGTTATCATCCATGAGACGGAAAGTCCTAAAGTAAAATTTTATTAGTATATGAAACCAATTTCCTCTAAAACTTGAAAAAAATTCTCTTAACAAGTACGTTTATTTTTTAAAGCGCATAATAAAATCTATGCACTGGAAGTCACATCATATCATTCCAGACTTAATTTACGTTGGAAGAAAGCAATATCATCTTTTTCCTGTGATTATTTTTAATATCAGATGTATAAGGTGTATTTTAATTAACATATTATTTCCTACTATTTTAATTAACGTGTTATTTATTACTATTTTAATAGACATTTTACTTCTTACTTACTACTTACTATTACTTACAAATAAGAAATAAAATAACATGTTATTTTATTTCTTATATGTTATTTATTATACTTAATTACTTTACTACTTACTACTTACTTACTAGCTGAAGGACTCAGCATTGGCCTGGCTTTACGCAGAGTGAAGGCGCTTCCTTTTTTGGGGGGGGGATGGGAGTAATTCTTTCGAAATCTCAGGCAGACAGTGATTTTCCTCTTATTTTGGTTTAAGATTATTTTATTTTATTTATTTCGCCACTTATTTATTTTATTTATCCTCTTATTTCGGTTATGCATAATTTTACCAAGTTCGAATAAAACTGTAGAACACTGTGGAACTAACACGGTGGCATGTAAGAGTTCTGTTAAGAACTGATATTTGCTTTGTTAGCGGTTACATCTTGTTTCGGAAATACGTTTACGGAAAATCACCATCCACTTTGGTCGATTCTTTCACTGTTTTCGGAATATTCGCGAAAAACTGACATCAAGCGCACTAAAATTCTGCTTTAAAGGTTCTGCACTGTTTTAAAGAGTAAACGAACATGGTGCCATCTAAGAGTTTTAGCAAGAACTGAATGGGAAAGCAACAACGGCGACGTAAACCTAAGATGGGTGACACGATTTCAAAATCGAAATTATGTTGAAATATTCACATCGGAACCCAAGATGGGCGACTTGAGAGCAACGTTCTATATAAACGCCGAGTGTGAACCCTGTCGAACGGTTTTTTGGAATCTGATATAGACAGTGATCTTTGTCTTGTTTTGAAGGTCAAAGGTGCAAAATTTCATTAGGATCGGAATAAAACTATTAGTTTATATGAGTTACACACATACAAACAGGCACTCTTCTTTACATACGTATATGATTTTAATGAATCCATTTAGGGCAATTTCACGGGCCTTGTTAATAATTAATAATAATTTAAATGAATCTGCATTTATTGATTTTAAATCGCTTAGTTTATTAATAAATAGCAGAATAAAATTGAAAGAAAAATTATATATCTTATGCTTTGCTGAACGACAAAACACTGCCGCCTGTAAGATAGACTTATTTAAATTTGACTGTGGCTACACATACCTTTTAAATCGCTGATTTTGTTTATTAAATTCGAAAGACAAATACACTGCAAGTGGGCAATACACTTCTTTTATATCGTCGAGTTTTTATATTAAATTTGAAGCAAATATTTTACTCTTTGCAGAGTGGCAATACATAGCTTTATGCATGATCATTGACAAAAATCATTACTGCATTTTATTTTATATGTTGATTTTTTTCTTCAATTCGACTTTTTCTTCTCTAGAAAATGTAAATGAAGAAAGTTTAAATAACAAACGAAAACCTTAGAAAGAACTGGCAACTCAGCCAACCATGCTGAAACTCTACTACCGTTCCTTGCCTTTAGCGCAGTGCTGAGGACTGATGTTATTTTTGATTGAAATTATGTTAGTTATTACGGAGCCACGTTGTTAAGCTTTAAATTTAAAATTTGATTTGTGTATAATTTGAATCATTGTTGTCTAATCATTTTGAGTATTAGTTATCTGTTCAGGTTGGAAATTGTTGCAGTTAATTAGTTAGCATTTTAGTTAACGCCAAATTGAAATGACAATAAATGCTTTAAGTTTGTTCTTTTACCCTGTTGTTATTACTTAACATTCTCGGCTTAAGGGTAAAGATGGGATGATAATTCGTCTGACAGTTTAAAAAGTTAAGAGTATTCAGATTAAATCAAACAGAGTGTTTACATTAAATTAGAGTATTTAAATTAAATCATACTCTTAGATGCACTGTATATATTCACAGAATCTCTCCCGGAAAAGAAATTTTCTCATCACGTTATGTAATATAAAGTAAAAAAGTCCCAGATCTGCCTTATATATTCACAGAATCTCTCCCGGAAAAGAAATTTTCTCATCACGTTATGTAATAACTATATATATATATATATACAGAATGTAGCTAATATCTTTGTTTATAAGGAAAACATTAGCTACTTTTGACTATAATATATTAAAAGTGGTTGTTTTTTTGTGCTTAATAACATATTTGTTTTTGACATTATAATCATATTGTACTTTTAAAGGAGAGCGCAGGAATCACAGGTATTACGAAAGCATAAACATATTCAAATACCTTTGTTTTAAATGGCATAATGAGCATTTTATAAAACATTTTTCAGTAACACATGATTCGTGTCAAGTATTCAAGTCTCAGTTTCATCCCATAAATGTAGAACCTTTTAAAATCATTATCAGTATTTATTTCAATAGCAGTTATTATCTCTGAAATAATTACTAATAATCATAATTTAAAAACCATCAACTATTAGCTCAATATTAGAGGTATCTCATTTGAATATTTACCGAGAAAGTCCAATAATTCCATTAGCTCCTCTAGATCTGCAAACTTCCCGCAATTTTTCAACAACCTGAGACATGATCTTCTGAATAACCTGAAAAATAAATTTAATAAATGAGAAGTTAAGATTTAAGCATAATTTAAAGTTCTTTCGAATCTAATATTGCACGCACAACTAAGTAATAAGTATATTATGTTTTCATAAATTCAGTAAAAATCACAGCAACAAGGAAAAACTCAAATGCGAGTAAAGAATGACATATTAAAATCAATTCAGACACTTATAATAGCGACAAATAAGATAATGTAAATTCATATGAAAAAATCTTTTGCTTAAAGGATGAATATATAAACTTAAGAAAGTAAAGAAGAAAATGAAATTCTGTCCATTGTTAGGCGCGAGTTTAATTGGCCTCGACTTCAAGGGAAATAATAATAAATATGTCAGGCATTTTAGAAAAAACATTACGTACGCATTAAAGTTTTCCTGAAGTGCATGGCATATTTAAGTAGTATATAAGCTATCAGAAATACCATAAACGATCAACATAATGACAGAATTGTTAGCATTCTATAACCATAATAATTAACAACATTGTTTGGGAGCCGCCCAACCGGTAGAGTGCTTAGTGACGCTAATTGCCGTACCGAGGGTCCGGTTCGAAACCGGAGAAGGCATGGATGTTTGTAAATGTATAGTGTCCGTGCGGCTTGGATGTCTCTAAATAGGCGGGTTACCGAAAGTCCTCTCTGGTAAGGCAAGAGGGGGGGCAGAGACCCTCGGACCCGTTCTCCCTCCCCGGGTGCTTTCCATCAAAATTGGAGGAAAAACTGAGCAAAGGCGCGAAAAAGATGAAGGCTACAAGATTATATTAGACTTTAACGTAAAGATAAATGAACAAGGGTGAGGCACTAGAAAATATAGGCAAACTATTAGGCAATATAGAAGAGCAAAGGGAGCTTGAAATTTTTGTGTAACAGATTTACGCAAGTACGCGACTGAATTTTAAAGTTCCTTTTTATTAAAATCATTAAAAAGTTAGAGATACATAAAATTATTTTTCCGTATTGTGATAAGTACTAAATAAAAATCAAGTTAAATAATGTATTATTGTTATTTTTGGAGATAAAGGGCTCATAAAATTGATGAAACGATTTTTTCAGGATAATAATATTTTATTGTTTTAAAACAGTTACTTGGAAGATCAGTAGTTCGAATGCCGGCGAAGGCAGAGCTGATTTTCACATTTCTCGTTCTGGGAGAAAAAAAACCCTTAATATCTTTTAAACTCTGCTTTCATCGGTTCTGTGTGCATTCAACCAATTACGGACTCGTACGGTATATAACAGTATCATACTAAACCAACTGTTGTGTCCGTGCATGAGCAAAGTTCTTCAACACTATATTTGAAGCAATAAGCGTCGTAAAGGTTACGCCAAAATGTTCAGTCGACATTCTTGTACATTTTTGAAACAAAAAAGAGCATTAGCGTAGAGTAGTAAAGCAAACAAAGACAAAACTTGTTATAAATGACCTTGACCGAGCAACAACAAGAGACATTCTGGCGAGAAACTCCTCTTAAATAGAAGGCATTTAATATTACACTGCGTTTACTGCGAATCGTGAGAATCACCAACCCAGGAAATGCAGTTAATAAATGTACCCGTTTATAAGCAAATAAAAGATTTTCCTTCACATTATTAGTCTAGAAAGTACCGACCTTTTCTATCTGAAATGACATATTTTTAATCCTTATGAGGTAGACAAAACTTTTTAAATATTAATACACATTTTAATAAGCATAAAATGATAAAATAAGCAGTATACGTTAACTCAAACTCAAACTATCTAATGAATTAGGCTAAAAATCAAGTAACTGTTTATCAAGTCCGCATCAACTAACAGAATATTAACAAAGTCGTAATATATGCAATAAAAATCCCATAATCTGGGACGTTCGGGACTTAAGAGATAGCGGATTATAAAGTATGTCAGATTTTTTTTATATATATCATTGGAATAAAATTGTATTACTCAGTAAAAAGATTTTTTTAATTGAATTTACTGAAAAACGAAAAAAAATTGCTTACAGCGATACTGCATGCATATTTAACATGTAAAACGTATCTGTAAATAAATTTACTTAAAGTTTAATTCAATAGAATATGAATATTTATTTATTTATTTTTCGATATCATAATTTTTAACTTTTAAGGTGAATTTCACAAATATGATTAACACTTCACCAGCCTCATGGCAAGTGATCTTGGTTGAATCACCGTCTTTTCTGTCCTTAAGCCATAGGTTTCTGATCCTCTCTCACTATTCTTTGAATTAACGTTACCCAACTTTTGGTTAACAATCGCATGTTTCTATTTTATTCCCGCATCACCACTTTTTTTTTATCAAGTATTGAAAACGTTTTAGCATCCAACGATAAAAAAGCAAATTCTATATAAACTCTAAGTTTTGAACAAAAGACTAACTGCAAATTGCAACATTTTAGAATTTTGTAATCTGTAAATGGCAACCATTTTAAATTATGTAAAACAAATATATATATATTAGAGTTCAGGTCAACTTAATAGTTGTGTATGATATTTTAGAATTCTACGTTATACAGTAAACAAATATAATTCGACAGTTAAATATGAATATTCTTTCTTTACGACAATGACAAAACGACAGGAAACAACTACTCAATCTTTCCAAATATTGCTGATCGCTACTAGGGCAGTCTTAAGGCAGGTTTGTTTATTCAGAATACGGCAAATAGGTTACTCAAGAGCACTACGCATGCAAACAGGCACACTAGGCGGGCTGTCTGCCAAAGGGAAGGGATGCTTTTGTGAAGGACTTTATAAAAGAAACTGGCTCGCATACACGTTGCATGTAAGGAAAGCCACGAAAACGTTCATGCATGTAAAGCCCGTTCGCCGGGAATCGAACTCAGGTTGGACCTACTAGTGTTCAGGGACTTTACCACTCGTCCACTGGTGGGCCATCTTAATGCAGGAATGCTGATGAAAGGGATGCCAGATTATCAGGCACACTGAGCCACTGGATAGCACATTATCAGATTCTACAGACTGTTTTCCAAAACACATTTTAGGCTAATGGCTCCAGTTTAAGAAATGAAACGAATGAATGAAACAAAGCAGCTTGTAAAAGTGTTGGTCACGTGACATCTTTCAATAAAAGGAGTTAAAATGTTCTTTCCATAAAAAGAAATGTTTTAATGAATAAGTTAGTGCTTGCTGTATTTAATATATCTCAGTGAAAAAAATAAGGAGTATTAAAAAAGTTTCAAACTGAGAAAAAAAGCTATTTAAAATTATTCGACTTAAATTCCCCCCTCCAATGAAAAACAAAGATGAGATTTCAACTTCAGCGACTTTATAAAAACTGACAACTGCTGGAAAAATGTTTCTCTGAAGTTGAGCACTTTTACAAACAAGAACTTGAAACTTACACCTCTCTACTCTTATTTTACTAAAATTAAAGATGTCTTTAAGAAATTTTTCTCAAAAATTTACACAGATAATTTTAGAGACATGAATGTCTTCAAAATTTTAAATTAAATATATATGCAGCAATTTTAACTTAATGGTGGAGTAATGTTTTGGCTTCAAAAACTCGGCTATTAAATCTCCTCCCATCTACAATTTTTTCTTAAGGGAACGGCATAAATATTTAGTTCGTGAGTGCTTTTATTAAAAGGCATCATGAGATAAAAGTTCTCGCAGTCTAAAAGTCCACTTTATTGCAGCGATTTTAAATTAGGTCTGCGATCAGATGTTCAGGAAATCAGACATTTGTTTTTCTAAAACAGGATCTTGGTAGAATTAAAAGTCACACGAAGAAATTAAAAACCCTCCTCAGACACAAATTTAAAAAAGAGTGTAAATAATACTTTAAACTTATTTTTATGGTAAAGCAAGGACAACTACGGTGCCTTAGATGATAAGATGCTTTCACACGTGCAGTTAGGAAAACCCAATCATAACTATGTTAAACATGAGATAAACACATGAAGCCTTAGTCAGCGATTAAGAACTTAATTCGTAATGGATCACTAGTGTTTTAATAGTCTCATTTATTTGGCCGTTGATGGCCGTAAGGAACAAAGATTATACCTTTTTCAAAACCATTTGCATTTCATCGCTCTATAAAAGCAGGCCACTGATGTCATTTGCTGCCATATACGAAGGTGCCAAAATACAAAAATCAAAAGAATTTTCTAGCGATAATTTTTTTTGAATCTATATCGAAAGAAAATGTTAGAAAATGAATATATATAAGAACACTGGCCCATTCATCGATTGGAATCGACAAATGACGTGTAACATGTGTAACCATATAGTCATGTGTAACGTGTATGCAGTGATACACATCATAAACGCACGTGTACACATCATAAACGCATTACATTTTCTTAATGAAATAATTCAAAGAAAGCTTATGATTTTTTAAAAGTATATGCCCATTTTTTACTTTTTCCCGAACATAACTAAAACAGAAACTCACAAATTCTTAAACGATTTCTCTAAGCACGTGAAATTCAAATCATTTAGCGATAACATAAATCCAAAACAGCTTCGATTTTACCATGCGTAAATTAGTAAATAAATGCCATAAAAACTGCAGGCACTATTGATGATTATAAAAATCAAAACAGAAACACGACGTTTTCAAACACATTTTCTCTCAAACGCATAGAGGTAGCGGGCTATGACGTCTAATTAATGAAACGGCTTGATTTCTTTAAAAACTAAACGTAAAAAAAAATATATTTCAGACACCAAAACTCAGGTTTTGGAATGCAAGTAACGAAGCTGTTTAAATGCAACGAAACTTAATATTAGTTATAACAAAAAGTTGAGAAAAATACGTTTTAAATCGTGTCGTCGGCAATGTGATCAAAAATCAGGAGTTTCCCGACTAGAACTGAAGCGTTGGCTCATCTGAGCATTACACACACATTGACTTGTTTATAGCGCAGCATTCTAAAAATACGCATCATTGCTAAATCAGATTAAAAAAAAATTCTGAAATAAAAAGGCGCCATAATTACAGAAAACATCTACAAATAT